CCCCCGTGTAGCGGTGAGGCCGAGCCGGGCCCGCCGCTGCCTCCCCCTCGCTGCCAAGGCCTGGAGCAGCGGGCGCAGGCTGAGCGGGGTGGCGGTACCGCACCGATGGGCTTTAGCTTGGGGTGGCTACGAGCAAGCTTGCTCCGTGCTCCGCGCCTGCCTGTGTGCCTAGCAGTGCGCGCGCGCGTGTATTTACGTGCATTCGTATGTACTTCTTGCGTTTCAGGAAAATGTTTATTGGAGGCCTCAGCTGGGACACCAGCAAGAAAGACTTGACAGAGTATCTCTCTCGGTTTGGTGAGGTCGTGGATTGTACCATTAAAACAGACCCGGTCACTGGGAGGTCGAGAGGGTTTGGATTCGTGCTCTTCAAGGATGCTGCCAGTGTGGAGAAGGTGGGTGGTTATCTTGTGGATTGATGGCACAAAACTCGCCTTGTGTCACTGTAATGATCTGAGACTGTTTTCCTCTGTGCTTCTTAGGTATTGGAACTGAAGGAACACAAGTTGGATGGGAAATTAATAGATCCTAAAAGAGCAAAAGCCCTAAAAGGGAAGGAGCCACCAAAAAAAGTATTTGTTGGTGGGCTGAGTCCAGATACGTCTGAAGAACAGATTAAGGAGTACTTTGGCGCTTTTGGCGAGGTATTGTATAATGGTACCTAAGAATAGTTCTGGTTTTCAACTGCAGTGTTACCTCTGTCTTAAGACAGAGCAATTTGTGAGGAGAGCTGGCTCAGGCTTACATAAAATTAGGGTTTGTTGAATTTACATGCATTTTAATGGTTCCACAGTGTTTTGATAGGTTCATTTACAGGTATCAAAAGCAGTTTGGTGTAGACACTGGACTGCCAAGGTGATTTTGGTAGCATAAAAACTTGCTCGTGGATTTCACACGTTACTCATAGGCACTTTTGATTTCAGATTGAAAACATTGAGCTTCCTATGGACACAAAGACAAATGAGAGGAGGGGCTTCTGTTTTATAACATACACAGATGAAGAGCCAGTAAAGAAGTTACTAGAAAGCAGATACCATCAAATTGGTTCAGGCAAGGTATGGAAGCTGACCTTCTTACCATGTGAAATAGACCATCTCTATAATAGACTTCCCTGAAAGAAGCTCACAAAATGGTCTTGAAATGCTTGATAAGTTGAAGGATTTCTGTCTTTACAGTGTGAGATCAAAGTAGCGCAACCCAAAGAGGTATACAGGCAACAGCAGCAGCAGCAGAAAGGAGGAAAAAACAACGCGGCTGGTGGGCGAGGAGGTGGAAGGGGGCGTGGACGGGGTGAGTGTTTTGGAGTATGAAATTAATGTAAAAGCTTACCTGTCTGTACTAAACACTGAGGTGTTTGTAGATATTCCAGGTTTTGACTGCATGCAGATTTCACATTTACATTGAATGTGGAAAGTAGCCTGGTAGTAAATGGCATTTTGGTGGTTGTGATTGCTTGTGGAAGCCCAAGAATCTCTTCTGGGTCTGTTTGCATTCAAGTGGTGAGGTGGCAAGCTGAATGTAGGGTGTTTTTGTGCAGCCCAGTTGACTGCATAGCTAAGTGGGTATTCACTTTAACGTGAAGAGATACAGTGTTGGCTCCTGGGCAAGAAAACACAAGCTGTTTGCTAAAGAGGAAGAAAGTAATTTTGCAAATGGACGAGAAGCAATCAGCTGTAACATTACAGGATAGTGCATCTCAGTGTTAAAAAGCAGTTGTAACCAACACAGTGCAGTAAAGCTGATCCTGTGTTACAATGTGGTGTTCAGGCAGCTGATGATCCAAAATGGAAGTTAGAGGAAAGCAACAGGAGCTGCAGTAGTGCATGCATTCAGCGTGTTGTTTTTGTTTTGCTGGCTGTTTTATGATCAGGACTACTCACTGTCTTTCTCTAATGTTGTGGGTGATCTTATGACCTGTCTCTCATATCCAGACGAGATGCCTCAATTCTTTTTAAAAAAATATATTCTTGAGTTCTTGGGAAGGTAAGAGGATTCTTCCAGGTCTGAAGTTAGATGAAGTGGAATAGGAGAGGATTGAAGGAAGTTCTGTAACTATACTGTGCTATACTTGGTTTCAGGTCAGGGACAAAACTGGAATCAAGGCTATAACAACTACTATGACCAAGGATATGGAAACTACAACAGTGCTTACAGCGATCAGAGCTACAGTGGCTATGGAGGATATGACTACTCTGGCTACAACTATCCCAATTACGGCTATGGGCCAGGGTACACAGACTACAGTGGTAAGTGGGTTTGATCTCATTCCAGATAACAGTAGTGTGCCTCTGAACAGGGACCTCCTTTGGTAACTGTCTCTGTAACTGCTCCCTTACTCGTAACACATGCACACCCCTAGAGAGCAGCCCTGTTGGTCTGCTGTACAGGAGCAGTCCTTCAGCGTGTCGGATGTTAATCTTAATGCTTCCAAGTTGCCCCATGTTATCTACAGGTCAGCAGAGCACGTACGGAAAGGCGTCCCGTGGCGGCGGCAACCACCAAAACAACTACCAGCCATACTAAAGCGGCGCCTAGCACTGGGGGAATCAGGTGTGTACATGAATGCAAGGTCCACTCTGCATATCTCTAATGTAAAGATCAATAGACAAACGAAGAGTTAAATCTTACACGTAGCATGACTTTTCTTTTAATTAAGGTTTTTGTTAACTTAAAAACTCCTTTTTTTTTTAAACCAGCTTTGCCTACAGTGTCTATAGATCTTTAACTTTGTAAAAAGTGACTTTATCTTCTTTAGTACTTCAGAAAAACATAAGAGTTTTTCTGTTTTGCGTTGTGTACCAGGTGGTCTAGAGGAATAATTAAACTTATTAGAAGTATTAACAGGTAAAGTACTGAAATGGGTACAACTTAAGGAAAACAAGAATGTTGTCTTCTAACTCTGACATTATACCTTGTTTGTACCCGCCAGCGGGAACTTCATTGCAGGCCGTGTGTCACCCTGACCACGTCTATCTCTGGGGTCGCACGTTGCAGGCAGAGCGCAAGGCATACACCAGAAAACGCTGTCCTGTGGTATGGTCTCTTCCAACTTCATGTACCAGCGTAAAGATTAAAGTGGAAAACTTCAGACTTTGGCTTCTTTTTTTAATCTTTTTGAAGATAAAGTGTCTTAACTTAAATGGTTTTTTACAGGAGTTAAAGTACATAAATGCCTTTACAGCTTAATCATTTGGTCTTCTGTTTAGTGTTGTATTTCAATTGTGGAACCTCATTTTAAGTGCATTCTTTAAGATTTAATGCTTGCTTTTTTCTTTTTATAGCTAATAGTGAAACCTACAAACCAAAACGAACTTTTAAATCTGGAAAAACATTAAAGATCATATGCATGTGGACTTGTTTGAACTAAATTTAACCTGACTTGTGTTTGCACAGCAACCATTTAGGTGGATAAATGACTGGAAACCCTTTTGGCAGTGTTTCCAGTGGAAAAAAACTGATCCAGAGCCTGGTTATAGTCTAAATTGGGGGTGTGTTGTTCTGAAAGAGCTCCCTAAGTGGGCTAAATGTCTGTAATTGGGAAGAAAAATTACTGATGGGTAACAAAATTATGCATATGATCTTTAACAGTGAAGAAAGGAATATATAGAAGACTTAAAGCAGTTCATGAAAATGGACCTTTTAACGATTCTTTTAGTAACTTGCACAGATCTGACATACATTTTGTCTTGATTTTTAGGTAGAAATACTACAACAAAGCCATCTTGCAGCACATCGTGAGTGAATGGAGGGTGGTCTTCATGAGAGGAATTGACTATTTTGTAAAAGACTTAGTGTATGACACAACTGTGTCCAACTGTACATAGTGGCTGACTAGTTTTCTTTTATGGTTTTTACTTTTATTTTTGCCATTCATGTTATGACACAATGTGGACTTGTGTTTATACAAACTTTATTTGTATAATTTCATGTTAAAGGATTGTCTAATAAATGCTTACTTAAGTGAACGTGTAGTCTTGCTGTTGGTTGTCAGCTTGAAGTGGTGTAACTCTACTTGTATAGAAGGGCATGTACCTTTCTGGAGATCATAAATGGCTCGAGATAAGGTTATTGTGTATACAGGTCAGTACAACCTCCTCTTTTTCCTGACCTGTCTCGAGAGCACCATAGTACCTGTGGAATACGGCAGAGTTATGTCCTACCAGCTGTAAGAAAGAGGAGGGAGTGGTCTGTGGCACAATACTGCCTGTTTCATACATCTCAAGGGAGTGATCTAGAACTACAGCAGCATTTTTATTTTTTTTTAATGCTGATTGATAGCAGTGCTTGAGGGTGAGATCTATGCAACCATTCAAAGTGTTGTTGTTTTTTTTTTTTTTTTTCCAAGCAGTTGGGTTCCAGAATACTCAAGGCTATAACTTAACTTCCTTAAAGCAATTGCTCCCTGTCTACTTCAGTTCCAAGAAGGAGACTACATGTTGCAGAACTTAAGGGTCAGCAGCTAGTCTATATGCTGGGATCTCCTGTACTGGACTCCTCATCTAAATCAGAAAACTAGTTTCCCATCTTGCATATAACAAAAAATCCTGAACAAATGATTGCTGGAGAAGGGAAACTTTTAAACAGCAGGTTGTTTTCTGAATAGAACTGCTAGGATGGGTACATAAATATACATCTGCCCAAGGCCAAAGGATTGCAGCAGTCTGCCTTTTTTCCTCCAGCACAAGTCAAAAATAAACTTTGCTTGTTCAGAATGAAATGTGAGTAGCTAATTCACAGGTGAGACTGGTCTTGCAAATTTCTAAAGGCAGTAGTAGGGGTAGAAGTTTCTCTCAGTTTCTGAACTGTAACACCAGTACTTCTCTCTGGGTGTTTTATCTTCTGTCATACAGGAGAGCTGCATACCATAACTGCTATGGGGTAAGCTAGACACGGGGATGAGGCAGGATGAGTGAAGACTTTGCTGGCATGGCTGGCTGCAGCGGGGAGGAGCGGCAGACGGTCGCCGGGAGAAGCAACGGCGGTACGTGACTTTGCACTGGCAACTTTTCCGGCGTGCGGCTGGGTGCAGAAGCTGTCCGTACCGGCAGTGCCTCCGGGTGGCTGCAAGTACTGCTGCGCTGCTGTACTTCTCCCACCAGGACACGGCTTTGCTGTTACAGTTGTCTGTTAATACACAAAAAAACACGTGTCTGAGACTCAAGCTCTACTTCAACCTGTAACAATTTATAGTTTTCATTTAAAGGCGACTTTTTTTTTTTTAACTTTCATTTTAGTACTTTTAATCCCTGCGTGCTCCAGGGGACAGCGTCCACAGGCTGCGAGTCGCCCGG